TGTCTCTACTAAAAATACAAAAATTAGCTGGGCGTGGTGGTGCATGCCTGTAGTCCCAGCTACTCAGGAGGCTGAGGCAGGAGAATTGCTTGAACCAGGGAGTCAGAGTTGCAGTGAGCCAAGACGGCACCACAGCACTCCAGCCTGGCAACAGAGCGAGATTCCGTCTCAAAAAAGAAAACAAATGTCTGAGGGGCCAGGCATGGTGGCTCATGCTTGCAATCCCAGCACTTTGGGAGGCTAATGCAGGTGGATCGCTTGAGCTCACGAGTTTGAGACCAGCCTGGGCAACGTGGTGGAATCCCATCTCTACAAGAAATACAAAAATTACCTGGGTGTGGTGGTGTACGACTATAGTCCCAGCTACTCAGGAGGCTGAGGTGAAACGATGGCTTCAGCTTGGGAGGTGGAATTTGCAGTGAGCCAAGATAGTGCCACTGCGCTCCAGCCTGGGCAACAGAGCCAGACCTTGTCTCAAAACACAATAGAGGTCTGAGGGGCTTGTTTGCCTCTTATACTATGTGAGGACACAGCAAGAAGGTGTCATCCTTAAAGCAGAGAGCAAACCCTGATCTGGTGACACCTTGATCTTGAACTTCCCAGCCTCTACAACTGTGAGCAATAAATTTTTGTTGTTCATAAATGACCCAAGCTAAGAGATTTTGTTAGAGCAGCCTGAAGGACTGAAACAGAGGTTACTCAAGCTGTGCCAGCAGTAAGGACCATGGGAACCTACCAGAGGACTCAGCCAGAGAATCAGAACTTAATTCACGGCCAGGCACGGTGCCTCATGCCTGTAATCCCAGCACTTTGGGAGGCCAAGGCAGGAGGATTGCTTGAGCCCAGGAGTTCAAGACCAGCCTGGGCAATATAGTGAGACTCTGTCTCTAAAAAATACAGTTTTTTTAATTAGCCAGGCGTGGTGGTGTGTGACTGGAGTCCCAGCTACTCAGGAGGCTGAGGTGGAAAGATCGCTTGAGCCTGGGAGGCAGAGGCTGCAGTGAGCCGAGTTAGTGCCACTGCACTTCAGCCTGGGCAACAGAGCAAGACCCTGTCTCAAAAAATAACTTGATTCACCACAGTCACTAGAGTGAGAGAAGGGGAGCCCGGAGGAGGAATGGTGGGAGCCTGACCTGGGGTGGCAGCTGAGGCTGTGGACAAGGGCGGATACCTGGTAGATGGTGACCCTGGCACTAAGGTCAGGCTCCATGTGCCTCAGGCCAAACGTGGCCAGCTCCACCGGGTCCTGGGACAGGTCCCGGGGCACTGGGAAGGGGTTGATGTTCATGAATCGAGGGAACCACAGCTTCAGGCGCAGCAACTTGAGCATGGGGTAGCTTTTGCGTCCAAATATCTGAATCAGCAGGAACTCCGTCTCCTTGTTGGGCATCACACCTGTGCTGGGCAGATGCAGGCAGAACCTCAGAGACGGAGGGGGACGGAGAGAAGGGAAGAGGAGAAAAGAGAACATTGAAGTCAGGGAATTGATCACAGACAGGGAGAAAAGAATCAGAGAGAATTAGAAAGAAAAAGGCTCATGCCTGTAATCCCAGCACACTGGGAGGCCAAGGGGAGAGGATCACTTGAGCCCAGGAGTTTGAGACCAGTCTGGGCAACATAGTGAGACCCTACTTCTTTTTTTTTTTTTTTTTTTAAACGGAGTCTTGCTCTGTCGCCCAGGCTGGAGTGCAGTGGCCGGATCTCAGCTCACTGCAAGCTCC